TGCACGTTGCTGCTCAGCGTGACTACGAGCTTCACTCTCTTGACTTCAGCACAGCCTTCTTACAGGGCAGCCTGCATGAGGAGATCTGGCTGCACCGCCCACCTGGCTTCACTGGGTCGTTCCCTCCTGGTACCCAGTGGAGCCTCCGGCGGCCAATCTACGGTCTTCGCCAGGCGCCACGTGAGTGGCACGACACACTGAGGACAACACTTGCGGCTCTTGGGTTTGCTCCGTCGACTGCTGACCCGTCGCTGTTTCTGCGCACCGACACTTCGCTGCCGCCGTTCTACATCCTCGTGTACGTCGACGACTTGGTCTTTGCCACTGCTGACACTGAGGCTCTCGCCCTGGTGAAGTCGGAGCTACAGTAGAGACACACGTGCACAGACCTGGGTGAGTTGCGCAGTTACCTTGGCTTGCAGATCACCCGGGACAGAGCACGCCGCACCATCACACTGACTCAGTCACACATGGTGCAGCAGGTCCTTCAGCGCTTCGGCTTCACCTGGTCCTCGGCACAGGCCACTCCTCTGGCTACAGGTCACTCGCTCTCAGCTCCACCTTCGGACGAGTCCGTAGAGCCGAGTGGTCCTTACCCAGAGCTAGTGGGCTGCCTCATGTACCTGATGACCTGCACTCGTCCTGACCTTGCGTACCCTCTTGGCCTTCTGGCTCGCTACGTGGCTCCTGGTCGGCACCGAAAGGTGCACATGGATGCTGCTAAGAGGGTACTGCGCTACTTGTGCAGTACATCGGGCATGGGGCTTGTGCTTGGAGGACGGGGCGACGTTGTCCTCACTGGGCACTCGGACGCTTCTTGGGTTGACGACCAGGCTACGCAGCGGTCGTCACAGGGTTACACCTTCAGCCTTGGCTCTGGTTCGGTTTCTTGGCGTTCTACACGCTCGTCTTCAGTTCTCAGCTCCAGTTGTGAGGCTGAGATCTACGCCACAGCCATGGCTGCACAGGAGTTACGCTGGCTCACCTACCTGCTGACCGACTTGGGAGAGCGGCCTCGTTCTCCTCCAGTGCTGTACGTCGACAACAAGGCCGCCATTGCCTTGTGTCAGGAGCACAGACTGGAGCACAGAACGAAGCACATCGCTCTGCGTTACTTCCTGGCTCGAGAGTTGCAGCAGCGTAGTCAGCTTCGTCTTGCTCACGTGGCCACTCGGGCCAACACTGCTGATATATTCACCAAGGCGCTTCCGTCTGGTGATCATCAGCGTTTCTGCACTCTGTTAGGCCTTGTGCCCACGTTTCCTCACTTGCTGAAGACTTTGCTTGTACTGTGATCTATATATATACCTGCATGCTTGCTCTGCTAGGTAGAGATCACTGTGCTGTTGTTGTTGCTTATATACCTCTGCATGTGAACTGGCCTTGTGGCCCTTTGCTTGTGCTCAGTGTGTGTGGTGACGTTGTGATCCACCCTGAGTTTGCTTTGCTTCTCTTGACTGGTCTTGTGACCCCTTGCTCTCCCCCACTTTGCCTATAGGGGTGTGTCAAAGTATATGCATGTTATATATGTGTAGGCTGTAGTGGGGTAGCCAATATGGGGTACAGCCTCTTTTAGGGTTTCATACTTGTACCCAACTCTTTCATAGTTCATCCATTCCTGCTGCTAGATTCTAACACCTGTGCCCGCCACTGCCGCAGGTGGTGTGAGCCCTCCGCGGGACATCCCGCCCCCACAACATCCGCATCTGAACGACGCCAAGCGTGGCGTGCTGATGGCAATCTCCCTTCTGAAATACCAACCTGACTGGCCCGCGGTTGTCGCGCTGTGGAGAGGTGCGAAGAAGAGGCGTCCCGTGAAGGAGGTGGTGATGGTGCCTGCGCAGAGGCCGGTGAAACGGTCGAAGTCGACCCTAGCGATGCTGTCCGCAAAAGAAGCGGCGGCGGCAGCAGCAGCAGAGGCAGCCGCTCGTGAAGCAGCAGCTGCAGAAGAAGCAGCCAGGCTAGATGAGGAGTTGGGCCCTTGGCATAGAAGGTCTGACCATGGCAAAGATATGGATTCTGATCCAGAAAGTGACATGAGGAGGAGTCTTATGGTAGTCTTATGGGGACGAATGTATTCGCTGATGATAAAACCAGTCGTTTGAAGACCGTAGGACCCTAAAAAACTCTAGTCTGATAAGTGTAACTTTTGCCTGCTCTCTCAGATGAAGCTTAAAGTTCTGTCTGACATTAAGACCACCTTAAAAATTTCGTATAAGCGTCAGACGAAAAAAAATATTTCCGATTTCCGTCAGACGGGCCTAGAAGTTAGCAAGAGCCCTGGTATGAGGCCGTAGGAACACGCTTTAAGTGATTGGAAGAAAATGGCCAATTCTGATTTGCCTAGGTACACTGCAAAATATAATACCATCCAAATTTGAAGGGGTTCATGTTCCAGATGCACCATGAGACAAGTTAGGGACCCACCTCGTTATATTTGGTTAGGATAGGCAATTTCTGCATCGTGGATAAAATACATTCGTTCATGACAGACCAAGTCACACATGCACCTATCCACATCACAAGCTACTCAATCCAAATCCCCGCTACAGGAAAACCCCTCATCAAGCCCTGCTGTCCTATGAGGCCGTCCGCTCGCCCCTGCCTGCCTTCTTTGCCTCCTCCGCTGCAGCCTTCTCCGCCTCTATACCTGCCACTATCACCTCAACCTCGCTCTCCGCCAGAATGCGCAGCCCCTTGTCGCGAGTCATCACGGCCACCTCAATGTTCTTGCCACCACTCTCCACCACCTGCACACGCACCCACACATCCACTCATTCAGACAATGACAAAGCCGCCAACCCAAGCGAAAGAGCACAAGCTTGCCAAGGAACAACACTGCCAGCAACTAGTGCAGTGAAACAGGGCGCAGAAACCATCACTGATGAATCCTCAGATGTCACGGCATGGCATGACATGGCATGGCACGGTAAGGCACGGGGCTGACCTCGAGCAAGGCCTTAACGGCAAGCTTGACAGTTTCGTCCCCATCAGTCTCGCTGTAATTCTTCTCCAGATACTCCCTCACTGTCTTGCTGTTGCGCCCCGTCGCGTTCGCCTTCCACTCCGTGAACGTGCCTGCAGGGTCCGTCTGGAACAGCGACGGGCGCCCTGAGTGCGGGTCAAACCCGATGATGAGCGTTGAGATGCCAAATGGCCGCACTCCTCCACTCTGGACGCAGCAGCATGGCCAGGGGGAGAGAGGATGGGTGGGCAGGCAGAACAAACAGTGAGAGATACAAAACAACTACTGCTTTCAAACACGCAGTTCTGCATGGAGGTGCAGAAACAGAAAGGTGGCGCATGCGTCAGTATCAGCCCAGCACCGTTGACATGGCTGAGTGCATGTCCGCGAGCGTTGCACACCTGAGTGTAGCGCTGCTGCACGCCAGCGATGTGGCGAGAGATGTACTCCACGGTGACGGGGTCCTCCACGGTGAGGCGGTGGCTCTGGCACTCCACGCGCGCGCGGTTCACCAGCACGCGCGCATCCGCTGTCAGCCCGGCGAACGCCAGCGCCACGTGCGAGTCCAGCCGGTGGATCTTGCGCACCGTGCTGAGAGGAAGGGGGAGGGGTGGAGGGGATGGGGGAAGGGAAGTGGCGGAGAGACACAACAGGGGCTGTGAGGAAACGCAAACAGTTCCACGGTGACCCATCTCACATGCCCGGTCTCACCAGAAACCAGCGCCCCATCTCACTGTGCCCAATCTCACCACGACCTACCGCAACCCCCCCTTCTCCCTCCCCCCCCTACCTCCATCTCACGGCGCCCCATCTCACCGCGCGTCCTGCAGCTTGGCGGTGGATTTCTTCTCGACGCCCAGCACGAGCGTGTGCGTGCCGCGCACGCCGACGGCCGTGGTGCCCTTGGACACGGCCTCCGTGGCGTACTCCACCTGGAACAGGTGCCCGTCCGGGGAAAACACCGTGATCGCGCGGTCGTAGCGCGCCATGCCCGCCGCCTGTCAACCTGCGCGCAAGTGCACGGGTGGCGAAATGAAGGCTTGAGGTCGCTGCGCGGACACGGAGGGGGTGAGCGGGACGGTGTGTGGCAGAGACGGGGCGGGGGAGACGTGGCGCGGCGAATGGGGGCGAAAGGCGACGAAAAGGCGCGAGAGGGGGCGAAAGGGGTCAGGAACGCGGAAATCCATATGATGATGGGATGCACGCACGGAGATGGAACGATGAGTTTATGCACTGACAGACAAGCGTGCTCCCAGATGTATGCTTACCCATGGGGCTCTATACGTATCACAATTTATACAGACCCAGTGGACACCTGTGGCGTGACCTAGGTGATGCTGAGTGTCATGGCTCACGGCGAAGGGAGAACAACTGGTATGAAAACACCGAATCTAGACCTTCTCACAGCCGCCACGCGGGGTGGCGCACCAATCGACATGCGAGAAGCAAATTCATAAAGCGGGAAATAACTGGCGACTGACGCCGGAATTGCAAGTTACGAGGCTGTGGACCAGATCCGGACCTGAGATTCGGTGAGGCTGGGTGTCAACACAACGAGATCGAACAACCCCAGATGTGGAACGAATTCCTGTAACTTCGTACTGGAGTCCCAGCCTTTATGCGGTACGCGAGGTAAGGCGTCAGAGACAGGCCTAAATGAAGAGAGCAGCCTGTCAATCCTAAGTCTGGGATCGAGGAGATCGGAGGAGATTAGAGGAAATGAGGCGAGCCGAAGGAAAAAGCGACAGGTCAGGTAGAGTGTGACATTCCTGTGAGCGTGCGATGAGAATTTGGCGATTGTGCGAAGCTGAAACACTGCGCTGGTTACAAAACCAGATTCACGATATGAGATCATTGTGACAACGTCCTGCTGTGCTTCCCTTACGATTTTCTGAACCATAGAATGCAGCAGCAGTTCAGTTCTTAGGACTACAGTTCCATATTGGGCAGCTAATGTCGCGTACACAAACCCCTCAAACGCTGGTGTTTTTTCAGTAGCCAGGCGACTCCGTCCATTCTGTCGCACTGCCATCACATGGCCATGTCGCATGTCCTCGCACGCACAGCGCTGCCAGCACAGCTTCACAGCCGTCCCTCCGCATGGGCCGCTGACCACGTGGCGTCACACGCGCCCCGCGTATCGTTTGATTTCAAACCTCTCCTCCGCGCCAGCCGGGCCGCTTCCAGCAAATGGCCGGCCCAATACTGCGCAGCGCTATCCACGGGGCTGCGCGCCAAGCCTCACCATGGATCCCACTTGGGGACCAAAAGACGGCTTGCGCCCTGCACTGCCGTGGAGGCGCAGGGTGATGCGGGGGGTTTGGCGGGGGACAGGGTACGGACGGAGGGGGAGAAGCGGAGAGCAGGCGATCACTCGGGGAAAGAGGAAGGGGAGGGGGAGGACGGAGATGAGGAGATGAGCGAAGGCGAGGGAGAGGAAGAGGAGGAAGAGGAGGAAGAAGAGGAATATGAGGAAGAGTGGGAGGACGAGGAGGAGTGGGATGAAGACTGGGACGAGGACCAGGCGGAGGAGGAGGAGGGGAGCGGAGAGGTGCCGGAGTGGGAGGGGGAGGGCGTGGAGGTGGGGGTGATAGTGGGCGCGCACGGGCTGCGCGGCGAGCTGCGCGTGAAGCCGCTCACGGACTTCCCGGAGCAGCGCTTCGGACAGGTGCGCGTCGCGCATGGTGGCGGATAGGGCTGGTAGGAACGCACGTGGTTACCACACGCCATGTGCGCGCGAGTGCATGGTATGGCACCGATTCCAGCGTAAAAGACGGCGATTCACTACCATCTTTGCCCCAATCTCTCCCCCCAATCTCTTCCCCCAATCTCTCCCCCCAATCTCTCCCCCCACCTGTCCCTCTCCCACTCTCTCCCCCATTTCTACCCCGTGCACTGCGTCTCTGCGACCCCCCATTCCCCCCTCGCTCTCGTTGCGGGCGTGGCGGCGGCTGCAGGGTGGCTGGCGCTGGTTGAAGCGCCCAGGCAGGCCGTCCGTGCCCTCCCCTGCTGCCGCGCCCGCAGCTGCGCCGCCGCCACCAGCAGCAGGGGAGGCGGCTGAGGAGGCAGCAGGAGGGGAGGCAGCAGGAGGGGCAGCAGCAGTGGAGGCGCCAGGGAAGGCAACTGCTGGGGAGGCGGCAGCAGCGGAGCAGCGCGGGGCGGGCGTGAGGCGCGTGTGGGTGAGGGGCGGGCGGCCAGGCCCTGGGCGGTATCGGCTGTGGCTGGTGCGGATCAAGGACGTGGAGAGCGCGGAGCAGGTGCGCTTGAATGGGTGCACCCACGGGTGGTAGGTAGTGTGCATGCATGGGTGCGGCTGTGCGGCTTTGTTGCTGGGGTGACGTTGGGGTGATGCTGGGCGGTCCATGGCTGTATGCGCATGGCATGGCATGCATGGCTCACATCCCCATGCCTTCCACGTCTCGTTCCTTGCACGGACCCTCACATGATGCCATCGCTGTCCCCTGTCCCTAACCAGCATGCTCTCTTTCCTCTGTGCTGCTGTGTTGCTGGATCAATATGGCATGTCATGGCATGGCATGGGATGGCGTGGCATGGCAGGCGGAGGCACTGCGCGGCAGTGTGATGATGGTGAGGGAGGGGGATCGGCCGGAGCTGGGAGAGGACGAGGTGTACTCCAGCGACCTCATCGGCCTCTCTGTGTTGCTCAAGGTCTCCATGCCCCCCATCGCACCCACTGCCCCTCCCCATGCCCCTCTCCTCCTGCCCGTCCTGCGATTTTCGCACCACCTCCCCTTCCCCCGCATCCCATCCGTGCCCTGCTCAGTCCCTTTGTTCTGAACCCCCCCCCGGCCCCCGCGCTGCGTGCACAGGAGGGCGGGGCGCCCATAGGCGTGGTGGAGGACGTGTACAGCGGAGGGGGCGCGGGGGAGCTGCTGCGCGTGCGCCTGCACACAGGGGAAGCGGGGGCGGAGGGGTCAGAGGGGGCGGTGGGGGAAGTGGCAGGGAAGAGAGCAAAGGGGCAGGGCAAGGGGAAAAAAAAACAGGGCAAAGGGGGCGGTGGCAAAAAGGGGAGCGCTAGTGGGGGGGGCCCATGCGTGTGGGTGCCGTTTGTGCGCGCCATCGTACCTGAGGTGAACCTCAAGCAGCGGCACCTTGTGGTGGACCCTCCTCCTGGGCTGCTTGACCTCAACCAGCGCCCCGCAAGCAAGGCAGAGCAGACGCCGGAGGAGGAGGGCGACGAGGGCGCGCGCAAGGGCATGGTTAGTGCATACATGCCATGCCGTGCCAGAAAGCGCTGCGATCAGTTCTGTACAACATGCCACCCTCTCACCTTCTCCCTCCGCCACACTCCCTGTCTCCCCCAGCAGAAGCCCTTCCACCAATCCCCATTCCTCCCTCCCTCCCCTGCCCACCCCGCCACCCACTCCGCTCCCCTCTTTTAGTCTGCCCGGGATCGCAAGAAGCGGCAGCAGCGGAGGCGGCAGGTGGAGGAGCGGTACAGGCAGGCGGGGCAGCAGCACGTGCTGCACTGGGTGCACGCGGCCCTGCGCCTGGAGAAGGCCGCAGCAGAGACAGAGGCAGATGCTGGCGAGGAAGGGGCAGGGAGTGCGCAAGTACAGGGGCACATGCAGGGGCACGTGGATGTGGATGCAGCGCTACAGCAGCTGCTAGCAGTGGACCTCAGGCGTGTGGCCCATGCCGTGCACTCCGCCCTCACTCCACGCGCACACACCGTGCCCCCCCTGCCCCCGCCCGTGCCCCTGCCCCACTGGCCGCTCCTCCTGCCGCGCTCAGGTGGTGAGGCGGTGCTGCTGGGTGGGGCGGCGAGCAGTGAAGGGGCGGGTGGGGGGGAGGGTATGGAGGGAGAGGGCAGGCGGGCCGTGGCCGAAGGTGCAGTGGCGGTGGTGGCGCTGCTTGGGGCTGCTGCCGCTGCCGACGCTGTGAGGGAGGGGAGCGGCAGTGGTGCAGGGGGGGGAGCAGCGGGCATGGCGCGGCGTGTGGAGGAGTATGTGCGGCGAGACATGGCTCGGCTGAGGAGGCAGATGGGCACTGTGGACGCATGGAGGGAGGGGGCGGTGAGTGCCCTGCACATGCTGCACTCCTCCACGTGTTGCCCCACGCACCCTACGCTTCTCGTTCCCCATCCCTGCGCCTCGCTTCACCTCGCCTCACCTATTCTCACCTAGCCTCCCTTGTCTTGGTGTGTGAGCAGGAATCGTCCCCCCTGCCATGGCTTCTCGTGGTGGACGAGACGGCATCACCCCTCACTCTGCACCAGTCGCTGCTCGACGCCACTGCACCATCACAGGTCCGCCATGCCATGCCATGCCATGCCATGCCATGCCTCCTCCACGCCTCCTGCTCTCCCCACTTTCTCCCTCTCCCCTCAGCCCTCCCTCCTTCGATCTCTCCCCCACTTGCATTCCCCCCCTCTGTGTTTCGCTGTGGTTTTTCGTTTCTGCCTGCCCTTGGGTTGTCAGCCGTGTGGTGCCGCTTCACCAGGGTGTGCGCCACACAAAAGGCAAACGACAACCATCCTTTGCAACTTCCCCCCACGTGCCGTCCCTCATGTCTCTCCTCTATGTTCCCTTTCTCTCCCCCCCTCAGCCCACCTGGATCCCACTCCCTCAATGGCCACTCCTCTCGCTCAACCCACCCACCACCACGCCTTCCACCCCACCTCCATCCTCCTCCTCACCATCCTCCGACTCCGCCTCCTCACCCCCCTCCTTCCACCTGCTTCTCCGCCCCCTGCCACGGCCTGAGGCGGAGCCTGCAAGCAGTGCGGCGAGTGTGGCGCTGCAGGGGGCGTCGGGCGGCGGGGGGGGTGTGTTCCTGGCGCTCAAGGACGCTGCTGTGCTGCGCGGCCTCGCCAAGCAGGGCGTCAAGCACCTGCTGGTCAGCCAGGGGGGTGGGGATGGGGAGGGGGGGAGGGGAAAGGGGTGTGAGGGTGGTACTGTTGAGAGGCAAGGTGCAGATGCTTGGTGGTGAGGGTGGAGGGGCACAGGGGTCGTTTGGAGTACGTGGCATGATGAGAAGCACTGTGGGACTTGCAGACGACAAGAGAAAGTGGAGGGCAAGGGAACGGGACTGATTGATGATGCTGGGGAATGTCATGAACCAACTGTGGGAGATGGTACACCGACCTCCAACCAACCGTTGGCTACGGTACGAAAGAGCATGTTTTGATTCCACTTATGCCTCTCATTTCGCTCTCCCCTCTCGCCCCACCTCTCCGAATTCTCTCCCAAGCAGGTGCTACTGCATCCCACAGCACAGCCTGATCCTGCCCTCATTGCCGCATGCATCCAGTCCAATGCTGACGTGGCAGTTGCTGCGTCAGTGAGCTCCGATGCCAGCTCAGCAGGAGTGCAGACGGAGAGTGGGAGCGGAGGGCAGCAGCAGGTGCTGCGGGTGGCAGCCTTTCCGTGTGAGCAGCAGTCGGAGGGGCATGAGCACAGTGCGGGCACTGGGGATGGTAGTGAGAATGGGGCTGAAGCCAGTGGCAAGAAGAAAGGCAAAGGCAAGGGCAAGGGCAAGGGTGATGAGAGGCAGTCCAGTGGAGTGAGGCTTCGTGTGCTGGAGGGGTGTGAGGGGGCGGAGGAGGCTGCTGCGACACCTTCCCTTGTGCTTCACTCAGACCAGCTGGTTGTTTCCATGAAGTTTCTCAAGTCCTTGGATCCCATGCAGCTGCCCTTCCAGCTGTTTGAACCATCACCCTTGGAGCAGCGCCTGCCAACGCCACATGCCGCAGCACAGGTGGCGGCAGGGGAAGAGGCATGGGACGGGGCAGCAGAGGGTGGGGTGGATGGTGGTGTGGCGGTGAGGCAGCGGGCAATGGACGTGGTGTGTATGACGGATGCAAGCAAGGTGAGAGCAGGGGCATGGCTCCTCTCGCAAGAACTACATGCTACTGGTTTGCTTCGCAGCTCACCTGTCTCTGTGAAAGCCTAATTTGCACGGTTTTTCTGCTGTGCTCCATTGCAGGTTGCTGTGTTGCTGCCTGGGCCCTTGCCGTAGCCGTAACACCACCACCCACCCCGCGATTGCCACGCATGTTGTGCCGACACATACGACCCATTTATGTTGCTTGTGGCAATTGATGTGTGGTTTGAAGCTCCTTGAGGCGTTCATTTTCTTGCATCGATATAGGTAATTGCAGAATGGTGCAGCATGCACACAGCTGAAATTTCCAGTTTTTTAACCATTTCAAGTAACGTAATATGATTGCCAGCATGTTAGACATTAGTAGATGGTGGGTTCGAGCCTACTTGACCAGTTGCGATTTGTAAAACGCGTACAAAGAATATGATCGGCAGCTACAGTGTGCGACTGGGAATCTAAGTGTCGCCTGTGCGACGCCCCTTCCCCTTGTTCGCCCTCAAATCTGCTCCCCTCCGCATGCTCATCCCCCTCCTGCTTGCCTGCTCGCCCCTTCACCACTCTTGCTCTGCCCCTCCCAGTCATACCTGTACTTGCTCCTCGCTTGCCTGGCGACCTCTCACCCACCTCGCTCCTTATCTCCTCTCAGCGCTTCTCCCATGCTGCTCGTAGTCACCGCACCATCAGTCATGGCGGGCCCTCCGCGTATCCCCTCCGCACTGCGCATCCCTCTCTTCTCCGCGCTCTCCTGGGCCTGAACCTGCCTCGGCGCCACCCTGCGTGGCCCATCACCCCTAAATCCCGCTCCGTTCCGCACCGCCCGTGCGAGATCCACGCATCTGCCCTTCCGCCTGACGGCCTGCATCGCGCGAATCCGCCGTCGTCGCACTCTCTCGCCCCGGCCGCACATCGCGTCGTCGTCTCTTGAAAGCCAGCCACCACGGCGACCCCACGCGCGGTTAAGTCGCGCCGCATGTCGCTGGAGGACACCAGCGGCACTGCGGCGTCCGCAGCGGCGACAGCGGGTGGCAGCGGCGCAGGCGGGAATGCAGAGGCGATGGAGGAGGAGGAGGGATCGCAGGGCGACGGTATGGGTGGCATGGGCGGCGGCAACGGCGGGGGCAGCAGCGGCGGCGACGGCAAGGCGTCGCTGGGGGAGCTGCGGAGCCGCGGCGAGTGGAGCCGCGAGGCGACGGCGGTGCTGCTGGAGGCGTGGAGCGACAACTACCTGGCGTCGGACCAGGGCAACCTCAAGGCGGCGCAGTGGGAGGAGGTCACGTCGCGCGTCAACGCGCGTGGCGGCGGCAGCAAGGCGGCGAAGACGGTGGTGCAGTGCCGCATGAAGCTGGACTCGCTGAAGAAGAAGTACAAGGCGGAACGCCTGCGATGGCGCGGGCTGAGTCGCTGGGAGCACTACAAGAAGCTGGATCAGCTCATCGGCGGCCACAAGCGCGTCGCGGGGGCGGGCGGCAGCAGCGCCGCCGCCATGGGCGAGGATCTGGAGTCGTCAGGCGTGGGCGGGGGCGGCGGGATGAGCTCCGGCGGGGCCACTCTCCCCGCCACGCCCGTGTACCCCGCCGTCGCCTCCGCGCCCGCCGCCGCGATGTCCGCAGGGGGGCTGGGCGGGTCCGCCATGGGCACGGTGATGGGCATGCCGCCGGCGGACGGCACCTACTTTCTGCACAACATTGCGGCGGGCGGCATGGCCGGCAGATTCGTGGGGGGCGGCAACGGCAACGGCGTGCTTGTGCCGAGCGGCATGCCTCCTCTGCCCGCCGTGGGCATGGGGATGGGGGGCGCGGGCAGAGGGGGCGCCATGGGGGCCTCTTCCGGCGCTGGCACCCCCCCCCCGCCCATGGGGGTTTTACCCGGGGTTGGAATGGGCGGCAGCGTGTATTTAGGCACGGGGGGGCCCGTGGGCGCGGGGAGAGGTGGCGCAGGGGGCTTGGGGGCGCGCAACAGCATGATGTGCGCGGGCGCGGGCGGGGCAGTGACGAATGGCGACGGCATCAAGTGGTCCGCGGGCCCCATGGACCGGCAGGGGGAGTGCGTGGGGGAGGGCGGAGGGGAGGTTAGAGGCGCGGGAGGGATGGGGATCGGCGGAGTGCGCTTGGGCGGGCTGGCGGGGCAAGCGGGCCCGTCAGCGGGGGCGGTGCTGGGGGGAGGGGCTGCGGGAGGGGGCGGTGGTGCGGCCCCCCTGATGCCTGCCTCCGCGGACGCCTTTCTCCCGCCCTCCTTCCTGCCCGCGGGCGCACCTCCCGCCGCCTTTTCTGGCAGGCCGCGCACAGGCGTGGAGGGCGGCGGTGACGTGGCGGTGGGTGAGAGCCCGGGATCAACGGCGTGCAACCGAGGGGAGGAAAGGACGGAGGGGGAGGAGGAGGAGGAGGATGACGAGGAGGACGAGGAAGAGGACGAGGATGAAGAGGGTGGTGGGGAGGATGCAGCAGGGGCGGAGGGGCAGTATGGGCGAGCGGATGGGGAGGGAGGAGGAGGGCAGTTCGGTGGGGGGGGCTTAGGGGGGGCAGCATTGCCCACTGGGGTGGGCGTGGCAGCAGGGGCAGGGGGGGAGCGGCAGAAACGCATGCGGCGGTGGAGAGGGGGCTATGAGGGCAGCCGGCGCATGCCCAACGGGGCCGCGGATGCAGGCGGGCAGGAGGGCGGCATGGGGGGCATGGCGGGGATGGGGGGCATGGGGCACGCAATGGCGGGAGGGGGGGCGATGGGCGTGGGCGAGGCAGCAGCAGCGGCGGTGGTGGGGGCGGGGGAGGACTCGGTGCGGAGCCTGGCGGAGGCGATCAGCAGTTTCGGCGAGCTGTATGCGCGTGTGGAGGTGGAGAAGCAGCGGTACCTGATGGCACTGGAGCAGCGGCGCATGGAGTTTCAGCGCGAGCAGGAGGCGCGCAAGATGGAGATGCTGAGGGACATGGAGGTGCGCCGCATGGAGATGGACATGAAGTTCCACCTCGAACTCGCCAAACTCGCCTCGCCCTTGCCCACCACGCACCTCCCACAACCCCCCTCCTCCTCGCCTTCCCCTGCCGCCGCCGCTGCCGCCGCTGCTGCCGCTGCTGCCACCGGCAAGACGTCTACCCCTCCAGCGCACGGGCATGTGCGCGGGGAACCCGCCCCGTCGCCTGTGCCGTGGCCGCTCTCCTCCCCCGCCACTGCATCCCAGCACCACGTGCCGTCGCCCATGCCCGCCGCCCCCACGGCATCGCACCACCCCAGTGCGCCCCACGGCGGCCTTGCGCACGCCCCCATGTGCCAGCCCTCGCCCGCCGCACACCCTGCGCCCGCCCACCCCCACTCGAACCCACCGGCGCCCCAACGGGGCTCGTCACATGCGGCATCACCGTCACCGGCGGCTCCCATGGCCCATCCCAGGCTGGACTCGCACCCAACCTCTGGTGCAGGCAGTGGTGGGGCGGAGGGTGGGGCGGATGGCACAGGGCATGGCGGGCGCGAGGAGGAGCGGCACAGCGAGGAGGAGGGGCCGTGCGGAGGGGAGGGCGCGGAGGACGAGGGGCAGGATGCATTGGAGCGACAGACATCAGAGGAGGGCGATGGGGGCAGTGAGCAGGAGGAGGAAGAGGAGGAGGAGGATGCAGAGGCACACTCAGACTCGCCCAGCTAGCCATGCACGGCACCACCATGTCCCCACTCACCACCTCACCTGCTGTTTCCCCTTGTTCACCTGCCACTCGCTACCCAACTCATTTCTCCTCCCTGCCATGCACAACACCTGTGTGGCTCTCCCGACTACCCTGCGCTGCAGAGTGAGGCGCAGTATCTCTCCATGCTGCTGCACGTGCCTGCATGGCAGGGCTATCAGGGCAGCACACAGCATGCATGCACATGGCTCACAGCTGCTCATACTGGTACCAGGCCGCACATACAAGGCCGATTTGAAGCCAGGGAACATTCACATCAGATGTCATGACATACTGCGGGTTTGTGTCAACCCGTCACTTTCCAGTGGTCTATAGCTGCTGCAGTGTAGGGTGTGCCTAGCCTAGTCCTTGCATTGCATTGCATGTGGTACACACGGCTTACAGCCATAAGGCATAGCGCCCACCTAGGCCAGATTGCGATTTGATGCCCAGTTGTGTTGCCACCCGATATGATAAATTCTTGAAAGCCTTTGAGCACACACACTGACTTGGTGGAATGAAAATGACTCGATCCAAATCATTACTGCCTTGTAAGAGACTCGAATGATATGCTGTTCTGTCACATTAGAACATGCAATTGGAAGTGTGTGTGCCAACCTAGCAGCTCACCTTAGGCTCCACCAACACTCCTACCGGTACTATGGTATTGGTGCTAGCTGCACGTGTACATGGCCCCTGCTCTGCACTGTAACCTTCACGTGGCTATTTAGTATTCTACATCATTACATGGCCCATCCACCGCTCCATGCATTGCTTGCTCAACACACGAGCTTGCTCGACACACGAGCTTGCCCAAGCTTGACTGTGTTGTGCCAAAATTGAAACACCGTGTAAAGGTTCTGCCCAGTGTGTGTGTACTCACTGGAACATGGAAGGTCACTCTCTACTGTACAATCACACTGCTTGCACTCACAGCAGGCACCACTTTCACGCTCCTTGCAGGCCCACATGCAGGCAGCAGGACGCTGTGACCTCCACGCACTCAACCACATGTCCCTGTAGCTACACCCTGTACCCTTTGCCCCAACACCCGCTCTCAGCCTGGCAGGCAGGCAAGCAAGCGCCTACCCTCCCGGGACAGCGCCTCCTGCATGTGCACCGGAGCCATCAGGTGTGCGTGGGGGCGCGCCTGACAGCTTCTTGCGCTCCATCCAGTCACGGATGAGCGAGCGCAGCGCGTGGTTGGGGGTGAGGTGCAGGTGCGGCAGTGGCATGAGCGTCTTGGGGGAGAGCGAGCTCACGCTCAGCCACTCGCGCAGCGCACTCTCCTCGTATGTGTGCCCGTCCGCTGCCACCACCGGCCACTGCATCACCTCCTGTTGCCACCGCACATGGGGCAGTGCCATGAGTGGCAGGGGTGGAGGGGGAAAGGTTGATGAGTTGTTGTGTGTGAGCATGAGGCATGGATCAGTAGCTTCCAGCCACAGCTAAGCTGAACAGCTTGCATCTTGCATTGAAAGCCGCAACAGATGAGGAGGGGTGTGGGGGTGGTGACAACATAAGAGGCATGTGGTGCTCTTACAGCGCGGTGCTGCCCTAGTGCCCCCCATGCCCATGCTGTGGTGCTTGCTATGCTGTGCCATCATGCACATGCGCGCACCAGGGTGATGGGGCATCTGAAGGCGTTAGGAGCCACCTCCCACACCACCTCCTCCGCACCACCACCGCCGCCCTCCATGCCCTGCAGTTGCGCCTGCCGCCGCTGCAGCACCAGCTGCTGCTGCAGCGCCAAAGTCGCCGCCTCCGCCTCCTCCGCCGCCCGGAATGACTCCACTGCCGGCCGCAGCTGCTGCAGCACAGGCAGCACGCCGCCCGCAACATCCGGCCGGTCGCGGCGCTTGACAGCGGTGCACTGCCGCGCCAGCGCCGCCACCTCCATAGCCACCTTACTGGGCCAGCGCGCAGCAGGGTCCGTGAGGCTGTGCAGCAGTGCCAGGTCGCCCTCCGCAGCAGCCTCATCCAGCTGTGCAATGAGCCCTTTCACGCGGCCTCCGCTAGTGGTGGCGCCCAATAAATCATACAGCAGCATGCCGAACGCATACACATCGGTGCGGCTGCAGAAGGCGTTGGAGCGCAGCAGCTCAGGGCACGCGTAGCCGAAGCCAAGTGCGTCCATGGGGCCTGACATGCTGTCGTCGCCCGCCGTGCGCTTCATCATGCGCGCCACCCCCACGTCTGTTATCTTCGCCTCCAGCTGCCGCCCCAGCAGCACCGTCGTGGGCTTCAAGTCAAAGTGCACTATCGGGTGCTCCCTGCATGCACCCACCACTCGCACCAGTGGCCACAATCAGCATCGCCCATAGATTCTGAGTGCATACATCACAGGAAGCATACCAATGCAGGGAATGCAGGCGTGTGGACAGAACATGCAGCGGGTCATGTGAGCAGCAAGCGGTTACCGGCAGTGCAGGTGGGCGAGGGCAGCAGCAATGTTGGCAGCGATGTCAAAGCGCTGGTGCCAGAGCAGGGGGGGCGAGTTGTTGGTGCAGAGCAGGCGGTGATACAGCGAGCCACTGGGCATGAGCTCGTACACTATGCACGGGGGGGAGCGACAGCACCCCAGCAGCAACACTATGTTGGGGTGCCGCAGCCTGCTGCCCAGCCGCACCTGCATGCACATACACATGGGTCAGGGGGGTGTGTCGGGGGGGGAGAGGAAGGACACATGGAGGTTGTGAAAAAAGGGCAGATGAGCACGTGACCGTGACGACCAATGTTCTTTTTTTTACAAATGTAGTCAATGTGCACATCTGCAGTGGTAACTAGCGCATGGTGCATTGGATCAAATTGCATTGCACAGCAGTGCGCGGGGGAAGAATGAGGTGCACAGAGGTTCAAGGACAGCAGCGGGGTGCGCGGCGTTGTGTGAGCAGCACAGGCGTGCCGTGAGCAGAGAGCAGCGCACCTCCTTGTCAAACTCATGCAGAGCAGAGTCAAGGGAGTCATCAAGGCGGCGGATGGCAACAGGCGTGTGGTTGATCTCCCCGCGGTACACGCGCCCACTGGAGCCCTGCCCGATCAGCCGCTGCTCACTGAAGCCGTCCGTGGCGGTGTGCAGGTGGTGCAGCGAGTACTCGCGGAACTCGTACTGCAGCATCTCCCTCTCCCCCTGCGCCGCCGCTGCCAGCGCCACCGCCTCTGCTGCTGCTGCGCGCGCCATGTCCACCTCCGCGTGCAGCTGCTGCACCATGCACCGCGCCTCGTGCAGCTGGGGGGACAAGGGGGGAAAGCGGAGGTGGCCGGGGAGGAGGGAGGAGTAGGTGGAGTGGCACAGCACGCACGCGAGTTATTTCTTGCAGGCACACACAAACGAGCAAGGATGGGGAGGTGGAAGACAGACGGGCGTGCAGGAACAGCAGGAGGCAGGAGGGCAAGGGTTGAATTAAACGAGAAGGGAGGTGAGGTGAGGAGAACGAGGAGGAAAGGGAGGGAAAAAGGAGCCAAAATCTGTCTCACCTCTTGTCGCATCTTAACCATTTCGCTATCGCTCTCACCCTCCCTCTCGCTCTCCCTGCATGCGCCTCGCCCTCGCCTCGCCCCCTTGCTGCTCCCCGTCCATGCCTCCGCTGCTTCATCCACCACCGACCTTCTACTCTCCCCTCCCTCGCTCCGCGCGTAACTCCCCTCCACCACGGCCGCCCCTGCCTGTCTCTCCGCCCAGCTAGACACCGCCACTTCTCTGCTCCCCACGCCACCCCCTCGTGCTGATGCGTGCATCTCCCGTGCCGGCTCCGCTCCCCCGCGCCCCTTTCCTTCCCCACCATCCCCCCCCACAGCCCCCCCTGCCCCGTTGATCGGCCTTCCCCATCGCTGCTGCGAAGCTTCGTGAAGGTGATGGTCAGGAGACGCGGGAATGACGGAGGGCGCGCAGGCGGACGAGGAGTGGCGCGGAGTTAGCCGCGCACCCGCCTCCAAGTCGCCCCCCGACGCCCGCGCAACCTGCCCGTGCACCTGCGCGCGACGGCGAGACTGCGGCTGGGACGGAGAGGTGGAGCGGGGATCGCGGGGGGGCGTGGGAGCTTGCGCGATGGCGGAATCTTGATCGCGGGTAAGCGCGGGGGGGTGGAGCGGAGAGCCTACGAGGGAGGATGCGGAGGAGGACGACGAGGAGGAGGTGGAAGAGGAGGTGGAGAGGCGCGAGGGGGAGGGTTGGACGGCGGGAATGGTCGCGCCGCTGGGGAGGACGAAGGCGGCGGAGGAGGGGCGCTTCTTGGCGGTGGTGACGGCGAGCACGGAGCAGTGGTGCGGCGCGAGGTGGCGCGCGCAGCCGTGCGCAAAGCTGTGGTTGGGGCGCAGGAAGGAGTGCCGCGAGTTCACCACGAGCCGCGACGCCCCCACGCGAATGGCGGCCTGACACAGACCCACGTCCGGCTTGTCGTCTCGCGCCACGTGCGCTGTGGCGACGAGCTGCGGGGAGTGAAGCAACCCGCAGAGGGATGGAATGCGGCGAGAGCATGGCCGTGAATGACGGCGGGGAATAACGACGCAGCAGGGGGGAAAGAGCGAAGGCTATCGAGTCAGTGAGGGAAGCGAGACACGGAGATGCGAGGGAGCGGGAGGGCGCACGGGAGTGCGAAAGGGGTTGCGGTGGGACCTTTTTCTTGAAGTGCAGCTCCATGACGAGCGGCTTGAGAATAGTGTCCATCACGTGCGCCTCGTGAATGTCCGCCACGCGCGACTCGAGCTGACTCACGTTGTACGATATGCCCACTGCGCGCACACAGCCACGTGGAAGAGCGCACGGCACGCTGTCCTTAAGACGCGCTCCTGGTCAACTAGGGTCGGCCAGCGGTGCAATCAAGGCGCCTCATGGTGTAACGAGAGGAGCCGCGGGAAAGAGCAGCGCGGCGTTGGGTGGACGGCAAGAGGGGTTGAAATGTAAACGAGACAACCAAACGAGTTAACGGCGACGAGGAGAGCAAGCGCGTCACACTCACTGGCGCAGGGGACCTCGCTCATAACGTAGACGAGCACGAGCGACACTCGCTGCGACGCCACCTCCGGCTCCTGCAGCACGAACTCCAACAGGCGATGCGTGTCCTTGCCCACCTCCACCGCCCATCGCTCCACCACGCCTGGAGACCGCGGAGATCGACCTCCCATCCTCTCTGCTGCCATCGAAAATGAATCGGTACCGGCCCAGGTTGAAGCTCCTAAAGGTGGTGAACGTGGGAACGAATCACGTGATAAGTGATAGCAGAAGGTGAAGTGGTACGGCAAGCAAGTCGAGCAGGAGGGGGAGATGGGGAGCGAAAGGGAAGGAAGGGCCTTGCGGAGGGTCGGGGAGTGGCGGAAAGTGGAGCGCGACGGTGGTGGTGGCGACCCCGTGCCTCGCGCCGAGTGTGCGCGCGGTGAGGCGGGCGCGTGAAAGCAACGAACTGCTCCGAGCCTTCCTCTCGACTTCACGCGCGCGGAGAAGAGAGATTCGATTGGAGCCAGAAATGCCAGTCCAAACGTTGCTAACGGAAAATACGACCTCTGACACCAGATCTGATAGTGGTTGAATGCACTTATCGAATACAGCAGGCCCTTACTTACATTCGTTTCATATTGTCCGTCCAGGGCAGTTTGCATTGACAACATATTGCAATTCTTATCCGCTAGCTGTATGACAGATTTGAAACACATCTTGAACGTACAAGGATGGGAAGGTGCGGCTTCCACTACTAGTAGCTTCAGTGTACCGTATCCCAATAACAGTCTCCTAGCTAGACTCTTCATCCACAATGGAGCATGTGAAGCCTGACCTGACCCCTTCTCATTATCCACCACAATCACAACATTCGGCAATGCCCATCTAGTGGATCAAAGGATCCCACACTGCAATAATCTTTACCATAGGTGGAGCATGGTGTATAATTCTGGATCTAAACTCAACACTCCGTACACAATTCCCTGCAGTGCAACAGTTTCCCACAAATCTACAGTACACACATGATCCCCTACATTACTGTCATGTTTTCTCCCTGGCTAGTGGCAACTATGTTATAGCCGAGTCAGAAGATTGAGAGATCACAGAGTTCCCCAGCACAGGCCGGGAAGAAAGAACCTACAATAATAATTGCAGCGTGCAGGCAGGAGCTGCTCAAGCAAGCTGGGCGTTTTTTTGAAAGGGAGGTGTGGGGCGAGGAGGGAGGTGCACGGAATGTGCACGGGTAAGGTAGGGCTAAGAATCAACACACTCTGCTGCCGATTGCCTGCGCGATCCTCCCTTGGGCACATGCGGAGGCAGCGGCCCACTCCCTCCTCCAGCCCCTCCCCCTCCACTGTTGCTGCTGCTCCCGCTACCCCCACCACCCGGCCCATACGTCCCTGCCTGCCCCTGCACACCCACATATCCTGCTCTCCCCACCACATCCCCTCCCCCGTACCCCATGCCATAGCCCCCATACGCCCCCATGCCCGCCCCTGCCATGGGTGGTTGGGAGGAGAAGCTACCGGAGGAGAACCCACCGGCAGAGTAAGCCAAGCCCCCGGCGCCACCACCTGCTGCAGCGCCTGCACCCGCCACGGGGGCTTGCAGGGCAGCAGCGGCGGGGGGTGCAGCAGCTCTGCGGGGAAGGAAGCCCTTCCACGAGTTGGACCGATGCAGCCGACTGCTCGCTGCTGCTGCTGCCGCCGCCGCTGCCTGCGCCTGCGCCTGCAGGGCAGCTGCTTGTGCTGCCGCTGCCGCCCCTCCCTGACCCATGGCCACTGCGTTTGCGCTGCTTGCTCCAGCCCTGCCGCCCGCTGCTGGCTGTGAGGCGTAGGGGTTCATAGGGGAGGGGCCTCGCATGCCATACATGTACTGCTGCGCATGGGCTGCTGCCGCCGCTGCTGCCATGCCTCCCATGTCATAGCCTCCTGTCGGGCGCTGCGTGGGAGAGGTATTGGAGCGGATCAGAGGCACCACGCCTGGCCCATTGCTCGGGCTGCCTGACCCCCCTCCATCTCCCCCTCCCCCACCTGCACTCCCACCGGCTGCACCGGTAGGGTGCGCTGCACGCCCCCCAGCCAGGTGTGACGAGCTGCGAGTGCCCGCTCCCCCCCCTCCCCCGTCGCCTCTCCCTCCCCCACCAGCAGCACCCGCAGCAGCGCCAGCAGCAGCAGCAGCAGCAGCGGCGGCGGCGTCCATGGCGGCACGCGCGTCCATCTGCATGCGCGCCTCCAGGCCGAAGCGCAGCGGCAGGCTGTGCTGGCGGAACTCCAGAGGATTGCCTGCAGCGCCACTGGTGGGCGTGCCCACAGGGGTGCCCATCTCACTGGCCGCCTCGTCATAGTCAGGCGCTGCGAGCTCCGAGAGCTGCAGGTTGAAGTCCAGCAGGCGCTCACACCCGCCCACCGGCCCCATGCCCATGCCCGCCTTGCCCACTTGCTGCGCTGCCACCGCACTGCCTGGCGTGGCGGGGTGCGCCGGGGAGGCGGCAGGGGAGTCGGCGGAGGGGTCGCAGGCAAGGTGGTGCGCGTGCAGCACGTCGTTGATGCGCGACCGCACCGACGTGGCCACTCCCTCCAGCACGCGGGAGTAGCTCTCCAACACCGCCTTGCCCACGTCCTGCCATGCATGCACCGCCGCACGAGGGTAGGTAGACGTGATGGGTTAGGGGGGGGGAGAGGGAGGGGAATGGGGGTGAGAGTGAGTGAGAGGTGAGTGGTGAGGGTTGCCGCATTGTGGTGGTCATGGTCCGTGGCCAGCAACTGGCGCTGGATCCCCCCTCACTGCACCATGCTCTCGCCACCTACTACCGTGCCACTCCCATCCGTCCCACCCGTTCCACCCATCCCACCCGTGGCACCCTTGGCATGTGTGGCGCCCTCCCCCCTCCCTCCCCCAGCACGCACGGAGTTGTAGAGGATCTTGCTGGTGTCGAGCGTGGTCTGCGGCAGAGCGGGGCAGCGGTCCTTGATGCTGCGCAGGCACGCCTCCGCACGGCTGGCGTACTCCTCAAACTTGGAGATGTCGCGCGCTGATGGCCCCGTGGAGTAGTGCGCACTGAACGAATGCGTCAGCTGCGGGGCTCTGCCATGCCATGCGCGTGCACAGAGGCGCAGGCGGGAGAGGGTAGGTGGGGGGATGGGAAAGGGATGTGGCTGCGGCACTTGGAGCACTGTCAGCAGTACCTATGGCTTGACACTTGTGCAGTCAAATGTGCAGTATCTCATATATGGTTAGCATCAACTGTGGTGCCGCCCAGTTGTACCACAACGTAGGAGGGGAACTGGGTTGGAACAGGAAAAGAGGGGAAGGGGGGAAGGGGGAGGAAATGGAAGGAAGAGTGGGCAATCGCAGAAAGGCCCCTGCATTTACTAAAGTTCGTCCAGGTTGGCCCCATTTGTCACTGGGGGTGGGGGCCTACAATATAGAGCTACTTGACCTTGCAAGATTCTGGAAGTTTACTTACCCTTGACTGTTAGAGATTTGAGTTAAATGCCCCCCAAACCAGATACTGCAAGGGCCCTTCCCCTCCCAACACCCGTGCCCCCGGTCCCTCTCTGAGTGGCGCGCTCACCTGGAGGTGTGGGTGGCGCGGCGCCAGTGGAAGCAGGCGGCCTCGAGGCGGCAGGCGAGTTTGAGGGCGGCGTGTTCGTCGGAGAGGTCAACGGTGTCCACCACGCGCTCCACGCTGAACGCCGTGCCCACTATCAGCGCGTACAGCTGGTCGCCCAGCGCCGCCCTGCCCGACTGCCACGCCAGCGGGGAACCATGGGGGGGAGGAAGCGCGAGAGTGAGAGGTGAGTGAGACGGGGATAGGTTCGTAATGGTTCAGAGCTTTCAAACTGTGCGGCATGGTTCCCAGCCATGGTGCTTGGTGCAGGTGGTGCTGTGTGGTGGCAGCGCAGCAGGGCAGGGAGGGGCAGGGAGGGGCAGGGAGGGGCAGGGAGGAACAAGTAGGGGCAGGGAGAAGCAGGGAGGGGCAGGGAGGGGCAGGGAGGGGCAGGGAGCGGACCTTGGGGAGGTTGTCGGTGTAGGCAGCAGGCACGGCCATGTCTTCGAGCGCCTGGGTGTTGATGGCCATGGCGAGCTTGACCACCTGGTTGGACTTCTCCATGGCGTGCTCCAGGTTGCGCCTCAGCTCCTCACTCAGCCCACACGCAGACACACGCGGCACCGGCCGCCACCACCGCCCCGTCTTCGACTCCTTCATCACGCCCCCCCCGCCGGATGCACTCTTGCTCCCGCTCCCCCCTGCGCCGTCCCCCCCCGCGGAGCTGCTTCCGCCGAAGCTGGCCTGCCTGCGCGCGGCGGCGGACTTGGCCTTGCTGCTGTGGCCAAACGACTCCGAGCGCGTCCGGTGGTGGTCGCGGTCCTTTCCGCCGCCCTCGCCCGCCTCCTCCCCGCTGCACTCCGCGCACGTGCACCCGTCCGCGTGCCTGCTGCTGCGCCTCCTCTCCACGGCGCCGTTGGGGGAGGGTTCGGGCTTGGCGCGGTGGGGCGTGGGGGGCTTTTCGTTGGGGTAGGTGTATTCGGTGGAGGTGCATTGGTCGAGCATCTCCAGCAGCATGTCGTCTAGCTTCTTCAGCGCCGGCAGCTGCTGCTTCATGTCGTCGCGCTGCTTCGTCACCATCACCTGCGGGCAGCGCGCACATGTATGCGGCGGGAAGGAATGCGGGGGAGCATGCGGAATCAGGATGAGAGACCGCGATGGCGATGCAGGGGATGGTGATCAGACGGGAAGGGGCGCGAGGGGAGGGAGGGGTAGGGTGAACGATGGAGGAAGAGCACCGGATGGAGAGGGGGCAGAACGCGAGCGGGGACCAGGTTGGGCGGACGAGAGCACGTTAGGGAGGGAGGTGGCACGGCGAGGTGCGGGCGACGGAAGACGCATACGCGCGGGCCCTAGGTTGCCGTAGAGAGCGCATGCGCAGGGCACACGGGACCACCCCAGCACGCGCCGTGCCTAGTCCGCCATTCCCCTCCCCCTTCCCCCCCACCCTCCCCCCAGCGCAGTACCTCCTGCATGGAGCCGTCGGGCATGGTCTGCGTGTGCGGCACGAGCTCGACGATGTGCTGGCACACGGACAGCATCGTCCCCATCTCCATGCGCCACCGCCGCTTGCAGTCCGCCGACAGCGGCCGCAGCCGCAGCCCCTCGCCGAACAGCGACACTGGCGGCGCGGGGCGT